TTATTATTAATTATATAATAATATTATTGAAAGAAATATTAGCAATATGACTTATGAAACCACAGGATATGCAACAATTGATCTGGCTAAAAATTTAAAATAATATAATTTACACACTTTGTATATTCAGTACACAAGTACTCAAGTTTCAGGTTAAGCCAGTATCCCATTTGCAGTACCATGTTTTCATAAAAACTTTCTTGTTGATTTCACTTCACAGAACAAACATAAATTTTCAACTTATGTTGTTGCCTCAGGACATCAGTATGGAGCTGGAGAAGGAGTCTTGCACTACTTTTTTAAGGTAGACATCCAACTATTTTTGAAGGTTCATTTAATTTCTAGGGGCAAACCACACTAGAATTGAATGCACTTTTAGTAGCTTTGGTATCATAAGCTTAATGCTTTTGTGAACAAAACTGATTATTTGATCCCTTTGAAATGGTTAGCTACAGCGGAAGTGTTTTCCACTTTTTTGGCTCTATATTATAGTTTTTTAGTTTTTTCCATAGTTTTTGAACAGTATCTCCATATGTACTTTACAGTGAGAACATGTGTGTCATATCAATAGAATCGGAAAAATGTCTGTCTTCTCAACATTATATTCTCTTCTTTTCCAAGCTTTTCTTTTATTTGGGATACAAAATAACATTTGTCAAGATCAAAGAATATTCTTTTAAAAAAAAAAGGTTCTTTTTTTTGTAGGCTGCCAATCAGTATTTCCAAGAATTGTTTCCTTTTCTGCAGTTCCATTAATCATTCAAGAAATTGAATTTTAAATCCTGAATATATACAGATTTGCCTAGTAAAGAAATGCTTCTTTTTTAGCTCTAGTTACAAATAATCTTTTTCTCCTCACTTCATTCTACATTTGTATTTTCAGATAGGTTGGCTTAGTGAGACTCCTACAATACCTGTTTTTGGAGATGGAAACAATTTTATTCCAACTATTCATGTTCTTGATTTAGCAGCGTAAGTAAAAAAAAAAAAAAATTTCCCTGGACAATAATTCATACCTAGCTAGATAACAAATCCAAATCTACTAGAGAGTACTGAGACTTTTAAATAGGGGTGGGTGGGTTTAAGAACACTCTTTGGCCCTTCTTACTGAGTCAGAGACTTCAATTTCTTTAGTACTAGATATGCCTTCTGGAAACCTTATCTGACTGTGACACTGGTCCTATGCTTTTAAAAAATTACTAGCAATGCTTGATCTAGGGTGTGATACCAGTTAACTGGCACAGAACTGGAAATGGATCGTGGACTCTATAGCAGGCTAAGTTAATATCTTCTACAGATGTTACTTTTTATCCCTTGAACGTCTTTCCAAATAAAATATCTAGCTGTGCTTCTTTATTAAGGCAAATATATATGAAAATGTCATGCGCTGAAAAGTTCTGCAAGATTTTACAAACTCTTTGTATTGTTTCTGAAATGCATTTAACAATGACACCCAGTATTGCTTCTCTAACTACTGGCCTTGACTGTACTTGCTATGTTTCAGTGTGTTACAAAATATAGCAGACCACAGGCCAAGGTCTCACTATATACTTGCAGTAGATGTATCTATGCACACTCTTCAAGAATTAGTAAAGGTAAGAGATTTGATTCTTTTTTTTTTTTTTTTTCAGGTATTTTTAACATTTTGAAAGCTATACATTTTACTGAAGTAGAAGTTCCTAGGTGTTCCTGAATTATCTTGTGTAGTAAATGGTGTAGAAAATTACTTTGAAATCCTCCAAGACTTCTGTCCTTTGACCAAAATACATTACTTGGACCTGATTTTGCAGAACTAACTTTTACAGTATCATCATTAACTTAAGTAGGAATTTTACCTAAGAAAGTTCTGGTGAATTGCTATGGTATTCACGGTACTGTAATTAGATACTCAAAGTCTTTAAGATGTTTTTTGCTTCATTTTGTAGGAAGATATCCATTTTTCCAAGCATTTTGAAATTAAATCTAGAAATAGTCTTGATGACACTGTTGAACTATACACTGATAATGAGAATCAACTAAAACAATGCAATAGGAGACGTGCTCATGTATCACAGAATCATAGAATCATTTAGGTTGGAAAAGACCTTTAAGAGCATCCAGTCCAACCATTAACCTAACATTACCAAGTCCACCACTAAACCAGTTAAGGGTAGAGTAGCAATTTCATGTTTCCTGGCTTGGTGGCTGGATTAGTTATAATGAAAGTAAAAACTAGGAATCATTAAGATTGGAAAGGACCTCTAAGATCATCAGTCCAATCATCAACCCAACACCACCATGCCCACTAAACCATGTCCCCAGGTGCCACGTCTACCCATTTTTTGAACGCTTCCAGGGATGGTGACTCCACCCCCTCTCTGGGCAGCCTGTTCCAATGCTTGACTACCCTTTCCATGAAGAAATTTTTCTTAATATTCAATCTAAATCTCCCCTGGCACAACTTGAGCCCATTTCCTCTCATCCTATCGCTTGTTACTTGGGAGAAGAGACCAACACCCACCTCACTACAACCTCCTTTCAGGTAGTTGTAGAGAGCGATAAGATCTCCCCTCAGCCTCCTCTTCTCCAGGCTAAACAACCCCAGCTCCCTCAGCCGCTCCTCATAAGCCCTGTGCTCCAGACCCTTCACCAGCTTCGTTGCCCTTCTCTGAACACGCTCCAGCACCTCAATGTCTTTCTTGTATTGAGGGGCCCAAAACTGGACACAGTATTTAAGGTGCGGCCTCACCAGTGCCAAGTACAGGGGGACAATCACATCCCTGTTCCTGTTGGCCACACTATTCCTGATAGGCCAACAGCATCCTGGCTTGTTCTTGGCCCCCTGGGCACACTGCTGGCTCATGTTCAGCCAGCTGTCTACCAACACCCCCAGGTCCTTTTCGGCCAGGCAGCTTTCCAGCCACTCTTCCCCAAGCCTGCAGCGTTGCATGGGGTTGTTGTGACCCAAGTGCAGGACTCGGCACTTGGCCTTGTTCAGCCTCATACAGTTGGCCTCGGCCTGTCAGTCCAGCCTGTCCAGATCCCTCTGCAGGGCCATCCTACCCTCGAGCAGATTGACACTCCCACCCAGCTTGGTGTCATCTGCAAACTTACTGAGGGCGCACTCAATCCCCTCATCCAGATCGTTGATAAAGATATTAAACAAGGCTGGCCCCAAAACAGAGCCCTGGGGAACACTGCTTGTGACTGGCCACCAACTGGACTTAACTCCATTCACCACAACTCTCTGGGTTTGGCCACCCAGTCAGTTTTTTACCCAGTGAAGACTATGCCCATCCAAGCCATGAGCTGCCAGCTTCCTAAGGAGAAAGCTATGGGAGACAGTGTCAAAGGCTTTGCTGAAGTCCAGGTAGATCACATGCACAGCCTTTCCTTCATCCACCAGGCGGGTCACCAGGTCATAAAAGGAGATCAGGTTGGTCAAGCAGGACCTGCCTTTCATGAACCCATGTTGTCTGGGCCTGATCCCCTGGTTGAGCTGCACATGCCTGTAGATTGAGCAAATGTTACATAAGGACCAAACATAACAGCCCAATATTTTTGGTTGTGTCAAAGAGTGTTTCATGGAACAGTGTGTTAGGGAGCTCACAAGATGATGCAACATTTGTTTTGCTTTAGGTAAATATACAGGCTCTCACTGAAAAGTTAATAGTTGAAGAGCCATTCTGCGTAAGTGACCATAATGCAGTTAACATTCCTATGGAAGAAGCAAAGGTCAAACTAACTTTCGCAGCTATGGTCAACCATAGGAAAGAGCATTATATAAAAATGAACGCATATATATAAAGACATTAAAAATACTAAGTCCTTAGAGGAGAAGGGTAGAGACTATTGAAACTTACATTATTAGCCATGTAAGGCCATTGCAGGCTGCTTATTAAGGAAAGTTTGGGAAAGAGAAAATGAAAATTAGCATGGTTAAACTGTAGGTTGAAGAAAACAAGATGTGAGACTTCAGAAAGTTACAGTTATGTCCAGATGAAGAAAATAGAATAGAAAAGATCATGAAATCTGGTTGGGTAAGTGAAAAAACACTTGAAGATCAACTGTCAGGAAAGACTCAAAATGTATATCCTTTTTTCAAACACTGAAAGAACAAAAAGCCTGCCAGAAAATCTGTAAGGCAAATTGATGACTATGGTGTAAAAGGAGCACTTAGAGAAGACAAGGCCACAGCAGAGATGCTTTGTATTAGTGGGCATGGGTAAGAATTTGGAAGCATCTTAATGCTGCAGGATCTCTTCGTGGATAACTTGTTAGAGGATCTGTATAAAACTAGAGTAACTGTAGAAAAGATTACAGAATGAACCCACAAAATGAACACTAAGAAACCACTAGAGTCTTACGGTATTCAGTGAAGAGGTCTGAAATAGCTCAAGGACGAAATAACTCTGAGTTGCTAATTCACTCATACAACCTGCTGTTTAGCACAATCCTGGCACTTGAAGGCTGGAGGATGATAAATGAGGTGCTAATGTAAAAAGGGAGGTTCCTGAAATGTTTTGGGAATTACAGGCCAATATGCCTAATACCATTGGCTAATAACCGGGTACATTATTAGGCATTATAATAAATTAAATGCATTAAAGGACACCCAGATAGATACTATCTGTTTGGGAAGAGTCAATGTGACTTCTGTAAAATACTTTCCCAAGAAATACTTTCCAAAAAAGTACTTTCAAATACTTTGGAAACCTCCTGAAGTTCTTTAATATGACCAGGAAATGTTGGATAAGGGTAAACAAGCTGATGTAGTCTACTTGAATTTCCCACATGCTTTCAAAGAAGTACTTCACCAAAAGCTGTTGAGAAGCAGCTAGGCACCCTAAGAAAAGTGGTTGGGTCCTTTCATGGGTACGTGATTGTTTAGAAATGGGAAATAGAGGGCAGGAGTGAGTGTACAGTTCTTGTAGAGACAGGAAGTTGCCAGTGGAGAGTGTTGCAGGGAGCACTGCAGAGAGCTATCTCGGCAGAGAGCTGCCCTGGCTCAGGGCAAGTCTGGAAAGGTACATGGGAGAAAAATAGCTTGAGAGTTACTTAAATAGACAGCAGCTATTTCTAATTTAGGAAGTCTCTGAGCTGACAATAGCTGAAGATTAGAAGAGTATCTGGAAGGAGAATCATATATGCTTTTCCCATTCTTATTTTAATTTAGGCATCCACTAATTGACATTGTTGGAGACAGAATGCTTGAATATATGTAGATTTGATCTGACACGCTATATCAATTTTTATGATTTTATGGAATCTAGTGGGGTTTTAGGTTAATTTTAAAGGGCTTGCAGGGGTAACTAGCAACTTCTGTCTAATGATGAAAGGAAAATGGCAATGTGGAGAGTTATTAGTGGCATTGATATGAAAACCCTTCCTGATTGTTAACAGAATTAAATACTTCAAGAACCTGAAGTGAACATGCTGGAAAATAAAATAGGTCTCCAAATAATGCTTAAGCAGTAGGAAATTGTACATAGATTTAAGAGCTTTGGAACACTTTTCTGTGGTTTTGGGTTGGTTGGTTGTTTTTTTTTTTAATTGCAAGTACTAACAAGGAAGTGGCATATAGCAAAACAAAGGTGTTTAACATTAAAGTTAATATACTGTTCTTTGATCTGTCTATTTCAAAACAGTATACTGATTTTTTTCAGGTATAGAATAACATAAAATTTAAAGCACATATTTTATCCACAGAAATCCTGTACAATTTTACAATTTTTTCTAAGAATCTGATTTGGTAAGTGTTTTGTGGTTTGTTTTTTTTTTTTCCCTTGATAGTGTATCAGTAAAAATGTTGGACCAGGAAAAATTGAGAAGATTCCAAAAGAAAATGCATTCCTGAGCAAAGAGTTAACAGTTTGTACTTTTTTTCCTTTTATTACTTAAGGAAAGGATGTAAACTTAAAAGTATAATATAATGAAACATATAATTTCTTTTTTTGTTTCACCAGAAAAATTTAACCCTAAAACATGCCTAAAAATACATACAATGAGTTTAAATTTAGAAAATAAACAAACAAAAAATTAACCATCATAGACTGTTTTGAGGAGTTACATCCTGATTTAGAAAAGCAGTGGAGCAGTGTTGTTACTGTCATACTGGAGCACTCTAACAAAACCTACACTAAATGATAAAAATAACAAAAAAAGTTAATAATGAAGTGCTACTAAGGCTGATGAACACAGTGTACAAAAATTATGTTGTATTCATCTATTTATCTGGAATAAACTGTTCATAGGAGAAATAAACAAATTGCAACCTTGGTAGTTTTAAGATGGTACTTGATAAATTTATGAAAGAGGTTATTTCCTGCAATTATATGAAACCTTTGTATTGTACAGAGCAATTGTTTAATGTTTGATATTCTAATAGCTCATGAGAATACTCAAATACAAATATACGTTGAAAATGTTTATATTTTAAAAAAGCTTAAAATGTCTGTTTTGCTTTGTGCGCAAACCTTCTTTCCCTATGCTTTAATTCCTTCTATTCTTATCCCTCCATTCTTGTCTCTAGTTTAAGCTAACAGTGTCTTAACAGTGTCTTAGCTTAAGTCTGTAAATAAATGTAGCCTTGCTCCCTCAGCAAATGCATTTGGATATGTTGCTTGTGAACCTGCGAATGGAATCTATGATTCTGAAAGAGACTTTCAATATTAAGTGGGTTGCTCAGGCAGGACTGGTGGAGAACATTGAACAAATCGTCAAGGAATACAAGCAAAGTCGAGGATTACTGGTAATGGTTTGGTGTACGCTCTTTTAAAGTGTGCCTTTCTTTTTTTTCCCAATAGAAATGGTTATATAAACACAAGCTTTAATTTCTTCAAGTAAAAATACATGGAAGACTGATACAGATGCAAAATAAGTGAACATAGGAACTGAAAATTAAATTGAAGAAGTTAAAAAAGGGGAAATATTAATTAAAACAATAATCATTAAGTTTTATTTCTTTTATGCCTAAACCTGAAACCCTGTAAATGCAAATAAGCTTCCTGATGGAGAAGCTGCTGTTCTGAAACTAGTTTCTGTATGCAATACATGTCATTCCTGGCATATTTTGCTTCAAGAACACAATAAGCATACCTTTTATTTAAGCTTTTTTATAATAGCCAGTAGTTAGGTCTTTTGTGTCCTTCTTTATATTTAGTGAGCCAGGATATTCAAGTGCAATGTAGCTTTCTTTTTTATGCTGCTCTGTTCTGTAATGTACTGAGCAAACTTGCTGTTTCCTGTGTTAGCTTAATATTTAGAAGTTCTGTATTCAAATGTATAGGAAAGGTATTGAAAGGTGCAGAAAAATGCTTGCATACATTCAAGTATTGATTGGTATGATAAAGCTGTTCAGCATGTCTAAATCTTGTTCAAACTTTGAACAAGAGTTCAGGAGCTGTAAAACAAAATACAACTAGTATCGTTTGAGGTTGGTTGTTAGAAGTCCCTGTGTACCTCTGAAAGGATTATCAGACCTGTGTTTGGGTTAAACTACTGCATCTGAGTTACGTATGCGTGTAATTCAAAAAATTCAGTACAAAACAGAAACATATCAAGTGGCAAGGAGAGGGAAGGCTAGCTAGACCTCTGTCCCTGTCACTATTCTATTAAATTTGCAGAGTTTGCACTGTCAGATTTACTGAATTAAGATAGGCAGTTAATGACGTATGATTTTGAGTTTGTTGCATAATATATTTAATAAGTATATACTGGAATCTTAATTACACTTACTTATCCACCAGCCAGGTAGGCTGAAATGAGAAATCGATAATACCTTAAGATTGTGATGGATCTGAAATTTCTGAGGTCAAAATAACCATTGTGATGACAGCAACTCTACCTCAGTTGGGAAATAAGAGCTATTGCATGTGTATAGTAGAATATCTTCCACCTCATTCCAAAATTCACTGGATCCTATCTATGGGGTTGTGTTTCATCTCTTTTGCTCATTCAAACACTAATAGTGCCACTGTAAGTTGTTCTGTGAGTCTACTAAATAGGAGCGTGCTTTTCTCCGATGGTAAAGTTGTACATTTTAATTAAGTAACTGTGTTACTCAAAGCCTGTGGATGATATAGGAGATATTCAGTGAGAAATAAATAAATGAATAAAACTAAAATCTATTTTCAGTTTTAATTAGAATAATTGTTATTTCCTATTAGTTATAGTAAAAAGATTGTTCCTTTTGCATAAAAACATCCATATTGTTTGAATGATGTTATATCTTTATTTTTTTTTCTAGCCTCTCAAAGTTTGCATTCATGGTCCTCCTGGGGTTGGGAAATCTACCATTGCTGAAGAGCTCTGCAAACACTACAAGCTACATCACATTAAGATAAATGATGTGGTTTCTGAAACAATAGCAAATCTGGTATGTTGCTGTTTTCTAATATTGCTATTATTTTAATTTCTGTGATTCTAAAATGTTTGGCATCATTTTAAAATTAATTATAATTCCATTATTTTAGAATGGAAATCTCTTTTGAAAAACTGATAACCTCTGGGGGATGCACTGAGCTCCTCTTAGAGACTGAAGGTTGCACAGTATCTCACTGTCCAGGAGCATATGTGAAATGAATTGTTTAATTTTTTTTCCCTTTTATTACATCTGTGTACAAAAGAAATTTGGCTATGGAATTCCTGAGCCTATTAATATTTCTGATCTTGTCTTCAGGAGAAAATTGTGGCTTCTGAAGAACTGGACACTGACAATGTGGAAGAAGAGGGAGAAGATGATAAAGAGGAGGAGGGTAAAAATGTAGAAGCAGCACACGAGTTATTAGCTAGAATAAAAGAAAGCATGGAGCAGAATGCAGGTAGGAAATACAAAGTACTAAGATGGGATTTAGGTAACTAGTGCAAGCCTATGCAAATGGAAATCAGGAAGAAAATTGGTGCTTTAGAACTTTTAAATCCTATTAAAAGCAAGAATCATGCCCTGTCTGTTTGTATGTACTTTATTTAAAAATCAAATACACTATTTTACATTATGCATTATATATCCTGTATATCAAAAGTGATATATTTTTTTAATACTGTGGTGCTTTTTTAATTGTAGAAGTTCCATCTTTCTACTTTCTACTTTCTACTTTCTACTTTCTACTATATATTTTATATAATTCTTTTCACCCTATAATTTGATATGTAAGTAACAATGGTATACTCAGAAGCATTAAATCCTTGGCCAGATTTTTTTTAAAAAATTAATTTTCTTCTCAGAACAGGGAGTGTAATTTATATAATATAAAGTAAAAAGTTAGTGAAGCATATCTTTATCAAATTTTCAAAGACAAGTATTCTAGTAAGAAAAAGAATTAGTGCACTGTCATATGAGATTGTGGGTTTTTTAAGTACCTTATATCTCATTTTGGCCATTTCTAAAAAGTAAATAGTATTTACTGAAGCCTGTAAAGAATTTTAGTCTGCAAATTGAAAAAGGTCCATAAAAGTTGCTATTACTGAAAAGTACTAATTATCATCTACATATGAATAAAGTCATGTAGTTTTTGACTTAGTGCTTAACATTTTCCATGCAGTATAAAGTGATCCCTCTTAAAAATGCATTCTCTTACTAAAGGTTTACCTGATTTGGATCTTGTGTATCTGCAAAGCAATGAACTTGTAACGCACCCAAAAGCTTCAGTAATGAGATTTATGGCAGCATCTCTTCTTGCTTTGTTGTTTAAAATAATAATGCCTTTTAAAATAGTAACATACTTTTATGATTACAATGGTTTATAAATATTTAAGACTTCTAAAAGCCAAAGCAAAATAAAGTAGGAAACTGGAGTCAATGGTTGCAAAAGGACAAAAAATCAGGTCAAACCAAACTTTTTACTCCCACATACTTGCTCAACAAGGTAGGCCAAGTAAATAAACCACTTCATATCTCAATCTATTAATCTGAAAATGAAACTTGTAAAACCTATCTGATGTTTGTTTTGCAAGACTTTCTTGAAGTCTTACTGTTACTTGTAAATACAAAATTAGTTTTGTCACTTTTTTCCTATAAATATTTCTTTGCTGCTTCTATTAAAATCTGATTGCATTATTGTAAACAAAACCTAACTTCATGTTTAGTATCCTTAAAGTTCTAATGTTTATATCCTTGTAAACACAAATGTAATTTTATTTTATAGCTACATGTTTATATTCCATAGATCGTTGACAACATGTAATACACAAATAGTAACTCAAAATACATAATTTTTTTAGGATCTAAATAGAAGTTTCTCTGATAAATGAATTAAAATGTTAGTAAAATAATGTCAGATATCTCTTTTCCATAAACTAGGTACCTATTAACCTTTGTGTCTTAGGTCATCTAGATGATCAGTATGTTGTTAAATTTGTGAAGGATAAGCTCAAATCTATGCCTTGTAGGAATCAGGGATATGTTTTAGATGGGTTCCCGGAGACCTATGACCAGGCAAAAGAACTTTTTAATTGTAAGTACTGCTGCTTTTGTTTTTACTGCTGCCTACTATTGTCATTATCATTATTGTTCTCAGTGCCATAGTAGTTGAAGTGCATCAGCACTGTAATGAGTGCAGTGCAGGATACAAAACAAAGCTGTTTTCACATGATGCTTAACATGTAAGAAGGATTGTAATGCACCTTATTTAATTTAAGCACAAGATAGTTTTCAGACTATCTTTGCTGGCAAAGTACTAAGTAAATGCACAAATATGGAGGATGCTTTCTTGTTCTGTGTTGGTTTATTCCACTCCAGCAAGCTCTAAGGCAGAATTTCTTCATAATATTTAAGGGCTGCTTAATGAGGCAATCCAGCCAGTGCACCAACACATGTTTTGTAAGTCAGATTGGAGTGGGTATATTAGATCAGCTACAGTAGATACGACTTCAGAGGAGCTCTGTGACATACGTTTCAAATTGTGAGCAAGCACTGTCCATGCATTAAGACCAAGAATCATCTCCATATGTAAACTACATCATAATGTTTGAAGGAAAACAAAAGCCAGTCTTGTTCAGCTTAATATGCCAGGCTGTAAATTGTCATGCTCAGCTGATGCTCTACAGGGAGTTTTACCGACTATTCACAATAGAAGACACTTAGTGGCAGAAACCATTTTAACCATACTACTGTAAAACATTTCTACTTGCTGTTCTGAGCCCTGTCTCTGTTTTTGACAGAATAATGTATTTGGCAGGAGGAGAGGCCAGGGTCAGGACAGCAGTATGGACACATTTTAAAATTGTGTATGCATATGCATACTTCCGCGGTATAGGCAAACAACTATTAGTGTCCCAAGGTAGAATTCTGTGGTGGCTGGCAGCACAATTTGCTTACTGATTTCTCTAAACTGGTGTCCAGGTTAGATTAATTGCCAGTAATTAGTATAATTTCAATGTAGGCAAACCTGTGTTTTTACTGGGCACATTTTTAGCAAATATAATTATATTGTTGCTTCAAATGAAAACGTCAGTCACTTCTTACTTTTGTTTTAGTGGAAAGTGAAGATGAACAAGAAGAAATTAAAGGCAAAATACCTAAATGGGATAAATTAATCACACCTGGTAAGTTTGATAGATTTCTTTTTTAAATAAACAGAGGGGTTTTCAAGCACTGCCACCACCACCGAGAAGTCTAAAATATCACTCCATCTGTTCATATTTAATTTAATATAAAATAAATATGTAATTCATGTAATGCTACTGCCCTTTTATTTGAAAGTGAACAATTAATCAAAATGAAGGTTTTGGTTCAGTTTGTGGGTGTTTTATTCTTTTTTTTTTCTTTTTGTGAAAATGCCATCAACTGTTGGCTGATAACGATAGTAGTGGCTGCCTTTGTTGTGATTACAGCAGCTATTAATGGAATAAACATGAACTCCTGAACCTGGCATATTAAAAAACCATAAGTTTATCTTTAGTGTGATATCTTGAAAGATATTACCAAATTCATTTTAATGCATCAGTTAAGTTGGGAATTAAAATAGAGTGGTTTTCATCTACGCAGAAATAGCTTCATCCTGGTGTTTTCGCTATTCTTGATTTCTTTGAAGTATTGATTACATTCAAACTACATATTTGGCATATTTTGCATTACACAATGTGTCTGTTTAAATAGCATAGAGGTTGAATATCTCAAATACTTAGTGATTCAGTAAATGATAATTTACTGGCTTCAGTGGAAGTGAAGAAAATTCAGAACTTTCTGAAAACTTCCTTAGTTATTCATTCAAAATTCACTTACATGAAGGGGACAAAGGTTTGACTGAAAAAGCAGACTTCTACCAAGTTTGTCACAACTTATAAATTGCTGATTTCTGAAGCAAATAATTTCTGTTATTCAAAAACAAAACCACTTTTAGCCTCCATTTCAAAAGAGGAAATGTGAATTAATTACTATGATGGGCTGGAGAAGTATCACTTTCTCTCCCATAACAAGGACCTCAGGGATGGGATCTGTTTTAAGAAGATACCTTCTCAACCTTGGAGAAAACAACTTGTTTTAGAAAACAGAATGGTCCATAAAGGATTTTTGTTGGTTTAGGGAGATTTTCTTGGGTTTGTTGGGGGG